AGAGCTAGGGAATCTGACAGGCTCAATTGGAACTAAATCCAAGAGCAGGGAAGCACAAGGAGCCAGGAGGAGAATAAATCTTGAATTAGTCTAAAACCACCCCATTTTACAGAAAAGAAAATCAAGGCACAGGGTGCAACTTGTCCAAGGTCCTACTGACTTACGAGTAATGTAAATAATACAAAAAAGCACAGCTCTTTCTACCCAGAAAGAATATAGAACCAAAGAAGCTAGACTTGGAAAACTACCACCACATCAGAACACACATGTGCAATAGCTCAAATGTGTGCAGATACACTTAGGGGGCGGATAGAGTTTCTGGTGCCAAACGCCCAGGCTCGTGATAAACTGTCTGCCCCAATCCTAGAGAACATGGGTAGTCATCTCAAAAATGTAGCTCCCACTCAGCCAAATTCACCTTCAAATTAGAATTTTTGAAATTCAGATTCACTCAAGGTCCCCCGTGGACCCTGAGGAAATGAGTCTGACTACAGTGGTAGCTGCTGAAGCAAAAGCAATAAAGAATTCCTTTGCTTATGAATGAGTGAGAATGAATGAGTAACTGGTGTGAACCAAACATTCTATAGCTCAGGACATGCCCTTCTTTAGGACTAAGAAGTTAAGTGTCAGGGTTAGGAGCAAAAAATGAAACAAATTGAGTGGTTTTCTTTTCTACTCTCCATCTAAATGAAAAATGTGAGAAGCAAAAAGTGTTTCCTCCCTCCTATGTATCTGTCAGCACATTTCCAGAGGTCTGGCCACATCCCGGGCACTGGCTGGCTGGGGAAAAGAGACTGACACAGCATATTCGTTCAAGTCGGAGCCCTCGCCTGGGTGGTCTGCTGTCATTCCTCTGATTAAACTCCCAGGCTGGAAGAGCTGGAGCTGCTCCTAATGATAGCTGGGTCCTGAGATCTCACACTCGCCTGCACAGAGAGGGCCAGTGCTCCCTCTGATTCCCTGCCTCCCACTCGCCACCACAGATCTGGGTTAATTCACCACATTCTTCTGTTCACCAAGCAGTAAGCACAAAGCTGTGGTTGTAAAGCACACCTCTCCCAGCATGGAGTGAGATAGTGAGACCTCACACAGAAGCGCCACTCTAGCACCCTGTCAGCTACCATGGGCCAAAGTTGCTTCTAGAAAACCCTGCTTGCAGGGATGTACACATTGATTTCCCAACAGCTCCCATCCCCAAAAGATAACTAGCCTCTCATGTGCCAAGGGAAAGACCTAAATTTGACCTGCTCCTGCTTGAATTTGTAAGGTAGTTGTCGAATAACCATATATTAAGAACGTTGTCTCTTTATATTTCAAGCACACAAGGGCTGGCACAAACATTTCTGAAGCAGCCACTTTGTGGGGCAGAGAAAGTCTGCTCCTCTTACATGTTCTAGACCATAAACAGAGTTAAACCTCACCCGAAATAGTGAAAGTAACTACAAGGCAAGTGAAATTGTTTTCAGCCATACAAATTCGTAAGAATTGAGCCACAGAGTACTGTTTACTTTTGGCTAAATTCACTGCTCCTCAGCATCTTCACCAGAGACCCGGGAGAAAAAAGGGGTGACACCGCCTCATTGTCCAATCCATCCTCTTCCCAGCTACCTGAGTGATCCATCTAAAAGGCAGGCCGACTATGTTTCTGCAGCTCCCTGTCACCCATAAGATACAGGGTGCGTTCCTTCACAGGGCACTCAAAGCTCTCTCTGAATCAGCACTCGCCTTCTCGTCCAGCTTCCATCCTACCTGTTCCCTGCTGACTCCCTGTCCACCAATACCACTAGCCAGCTTGCTTGCTGTTTGCCCACATTCACATGTGCCCAATTTTATTCTGGAGGCTGCGCTACCCCACTTCTTCGCCCGCTCGCCTGCCTACTTTAAGATTCTGTTTAGGAGTCATCTCTTCCAAGAAGGCTGCTTTGGCCTTCTTCTCACTCCCACCCGCAGGCTGGGTTAGGAACCCCTTTTGGTGGTTTTGTATTCCCTAGAAATAGCCCTGATATGCATATTCCATGCCAGTGCTATCATGTGTTTATGCGGCTGGCACCCTTTCTAGACTGTGGTTACTTCATGCCACGGACTATGCCCCCCCGTGGCTTAGTACCAAAGACTGAGATACTTTTAAGAGCTTAAGAAAATGTTTTTGAATGAATAAATTCAAACATTTGAATAAAAATTTTTATGGAGAATGCCACTAAAAGGTTTAATGGGCTGTAAATTTGAAATTAGAGATAAAATCTTTTTTCTAAACTACCCAAGGATTTCAATTTTTTATGTTCATTTTCCAAAATAGCACAAATAATTCAAAACCTTCATTCCTTATTCAGCAGAGTGTCTCTTAACACCTTGCCCAGAAAAGCAATGTGAAGATATATCATTGTAAATGAGATGTAATTAGAGCAAAACTCAGAGGAAAATTCATAGCTTTAAATACAGTGAAAAACAAGAATGAGTGGAAATAAAGTTCCCAACTCAAGAAACTGGGAGGAAATCACAAAATAAAGCTAAGAAAACCAGAAGGAAGGAAATAAGTAAAGATAAAACAGGAAAATAACCAATCAGAAACCAGTAAAACAACAGGATGGTAAGTAGATAGAGAATTACCAAAAAAAGGGAAGGGAGAAAGAAAATATTTACTAACGCTAGCGGATATATGAAAGAAGAAAATAAAACACAAAATAGAAATTGAAAATGAGGGAATAAAAGGAAAGAGGAAATAAAAGCACCTAAAGGGATTATTAGACACAAAATTGTCTCTGATGAAACTCAGTTGAAGGTTTCACACCCCAAGTTCAAAGAGCAGCATAGAACTCCCACACTTTGTTTAAATGCCCACCTCGCATGGGACAGTGGCAGTGTCACTTGCCTCAGTAAGAAACTATGGCAACTTTTTTTCAAATATAGCTAGGAAAAAAGGAAATGGCTAGTAAACAAATGTACTGGAGCCTATATTAAGCCATTAGAACATATTGTTATTTACCAGAAAAAGAATAGTAGAAGAATTTTGCAAATTCCAAATTAAGGAATTACTTTCTCTGAGGGGAAGACGCCAAACAACACAGAGAACTGAGCTTTCAATAACAACATTCCTTTTGGAACACTGTACATTATCCAAGAGCTTAACTTTTTCAAATCAAATCAGAAATCATTTATTATTGAAAGCCTTTTAAGGTTGAAACAACAATACTTTCCAAGTGTATGGCATTTAGACCTTACAAAGAGGTTTTTTGCATACTATCCTCATGACCCTGTTGTATTTTCCCCATCAACAAATAAAGAGCCTGAGGTTGACAGAAGTTAAGTGAATTACCCATGATCACACAGATAGTCAGTGGCAGAAGAAGGCAAGTCTTTAGTGGCTAATCCAGCACTTCCCACCACTTCACCCTGCTTACTACACACTACAGCATCTCCCTCAGCACTGTGCCAAGGCACTAAGCACCCTCTTATCAGGACTCTGAAAGTTAAGACTGACATCTATTAGCAAGCTCAGATGCCTACAAATAGGAGTCTGATGGATTTTTAATTCCCTGAAGTTCTTCTTAGATGAGCAAGATGGACTGAAGGGGAATGACTTTCCATTTAGGGTACAACCACCTAGGATTCCCAAAGGATCAGGATCCTGCCATTTTGCAAGCTTTGCAGTCTATCCAATGAGAGGAATTGAAAACTATGTGAACACTAATATTGGCTATGCTTTTTTACTATGATTGCAGAGAAAGTTCTCTAATGTCTTGGTGCTTCTGGCTGCTCATTTGTAAGTTAGAATCACATACTCTCTTCAGTTACCCAGTGAAAAAAGTATAGCACATCACCGGCCTCTTCCTTCCTCATAGCCACTTCCCACTTCAAAATCCCTCCCCATTCTACCATGTCTGTGATACTCTATTCCTTCTTCCCATCATTCTACCACTAACTATCTAACTCCCTTCAAGTCTCATCACTGCCCTTGTAAGAGTGTTTGCTTCCTATTTCACAGGCCTCCTTATCTACTTCCTTCAAATGTTTGGGGACTTGGGTGAAAAGACTGATTACATCCTCACACACTGGGTGAAGGAGAAGTAGAGCTAAGGCTTACCTTTAATTTTATACAGAGGAGGGCACCACCAGGGAGCAGTGTGTTGCCTACTTTTAACATGGGCTTGAAGTAATTTTCAGCTTCACTTTTTTCTAGACTTGGTTGTCATTACAGAGTTGCCACCAATTAGGAAATTTGACAAAACAGACAAATAGCAAAATATAAGTGTGGAGTTCAATTACAACCATTTCTTTGGAGGACTTTGATGTTACTTCGTATTAAGGAAAGGAGATGATACGGTTTCTACTTCCAGTTAAATACCATGAAGAGAATCAACAAGGAGGGCAAAAAGAAAAGTTCTTGTAAGTTTCATCTAACTTCACTGTGTTGTAAGCCTGTTATTATATATATTACATAAAGTTTCCAAATCCTAGTATCTATTTCCATCCAGCCAGCTTCCAGATGACCTTGATTACATCACTTCTTTCAACCTCAGTTTCCCCATCTGTGTTGGGTAAGGGTGTATTGACATAGTTCATTAATCAGTACCCATAAAACATCCTGAGCTGAAAGGTGGTTCAGGGAAAAAAAAAAGAAGAATGAAAGAAAGGAAGAAAAAGTAAAAGGCAATGTTAGGGCATTCTGGCAAAAAGATTTATAAGACTAGAACTCCCTGGAAAATTTTACCAAAGCAAGCAGAGTCCTTTAAAATACATATTTGCAGCTGAACATTCAAGTCTGTTTATCCATGAAATAAGTGCACGAGAGTGAGTAGCAGACTTGCTTTTTAATAACTGTAACAGAAATTCATTCCCTTTAAAGTTGAAGAACATTTTCATTCTTGGGCTCAAAACCAACTAATACTCAACAGGCATCAGGATGTGGGAATCAATAAAGACAGGGAAGGACAGAGCAAGTACCCTGTGTTAATCCTATCCTCGGGTCCACAGAGCTCTCTGGCTCCCCAAACGATGCATACCTGCTGGGTGAGGAGACTGATGGGAGTGGATGGAGAATACTGCCTTGCTGCCTGCTTCTCAGCCAGCCGCTGAAGTTCCGCTGTCACCATACTTTGGTCGTACCATTTGCTGTATGAAGAGCCATCTTCCCCTTCTTTTTGTGTTTTGGCTGCTCCTGAATGCTGCTTGCTCAGATAGCATGAACCTGCTAAAAAAAAGGAAAAGTTTTCACCCACTTAGGAAATATCCCTGAAAACCTTAGGAGGATGACCAAAAAACCTCAGCTAACAGACACTTCACTGAATCCTAGCGCTGACAACATAATGAGCAATAGACTGTCTTCAAATGCTCCCAAAAAAGATAAATAAATAAAATATTTACCATACCCTAGAAACTTCCTACTGCCAAATTGTCACATGCACTTATTAATGTGTTTCTGCTTACTATGAAAGCTTCACAAAGAAGAATTTTCACCATATTTAGTAAGGAACAACCAATCCTAGAATTTACTAATCTTGATGAATAGATACTGTGGCTTTGAAACTCATTATATATAATTCTTCCTTTCTTTGTTATGTGACAGTACTTCTCAATAGTCTGCGGCATTCATTGTCATATCATCCACAATCCCTCTTACAAGGCTCAAGTGGATAATAAGGGACATAGGGATAAAAGCAGAACTGAGCATATTTAGAAAAACAGCAATAATATTATCAAATGACTGGTTTTCCTTTCAGACTTAAATTTTCCTTTCAATAGTATCAGACAGTTCTATTACTTCTGAGCACTGAAATTCTGGCAAAAAGAAATTAAATACAAAGTCAAGGCTCATATGTTTTCTATATAAAAGCACCACATCTCATTGAAAAGAAAGAAACCCAGGAAAGTAGAAACATTAAAATGAGTTTTCTGTTTGTCTTATTAATGCTTATATAACTGTGATCATTCTGTATAAACAATTTGGTGACACCACTTTAAAAAAAAACCGTTAACTTTCTCATGTTTATCATGTGTACTCACAAAATATTATTTATAATAGATGTACAAATTACGAAGCATTTTATAATAAACTTACAACCCAAGAACCACATTGCCAATTAATGTGCATTAACCCATGTGCCCCTCCCCATCCTTTATCGCCCCTTTTCATTCCCATCCTTTTAAAATATATAGTTTTATATTATATATTTATGTGCGTGCTTGTGTATGTATTCAGACAAAATACTAGTTAATTTTTCTTGTTTTTGAGTTTTACAAAAATGGTATCTTACTGTAGTAGCTTCTTGGAACTTGCTTTTGTTATTCAATATTATATATCCAAGATTCATGCTTCCTAAGTATAGCAAAAATTCATTAATTTTATCTGCTTCTCAGCATTCTAGTTTGCAAGTACACGACAGCTTATTTTTCTAGTCTTGTTGCCACCATGGGTATTTTGGTTATTTCAAGCTTATTGCTATTATGAACAGTGCAGCTGTGAACACTCTTGCAAACATCTCCTGGTGCACATGTGGAAAAACTCTGATGTATATGCCTAGGAGGGGGATTGTAGGGTTGCAGGGTAGGTCAATTTTCATGTTTATGTGATAATACCAAAGTGGTATTTTTACACACAAAATATAAGAGTTCTTGCTGATTTTCCACTTCCCCTCCAACACAGTATTGTCAATATCTTAATTGTGCCATTTTTTAAGAGGGAGTAAAATTGCATTGTAGACTTCATTTACATCTATCTGATGATAATGATGTTGAGTTTATGTTACTTCTTTTCTGATATCACTCATTTTTCTTTGTGTTGTCTTCTTATTGACATATAAGAATTTTGCTTGTTTTTACTTTTGCTTCCTACTCTAGATCTTAAAGATGATTTTCTTTTTATTCTAGAAGTTTTAAGTTTTGCATCTGAAATTGATTTTATGCATAGTGTGAGACAGGATCTTATTTCACTTTTGCCTGTACAGAGAATGGGTTATCCCAGCACCATTCACTGAAACACCCCTCCTTTTCCATCATCTACAATGCCATCTCTGTCATATATCCAAGTCCCCTCTTTGTATTAAGTCTTTATAAAGGTCACTTCACCTTATTTTTCTTCTTTAGTAGGTTCTTACTATTGGTGGCCTTTCGTCTTTCCATTATCACTTTAGGATAGGCTTATCAAATAAAACAATAGCCCTGCTGAGATTTTGGTTGGAATTGAATTGAATCCAGGGATCAAATTTGCTGAAAACTGAAACATTTATGATATATCTGCAAATAAGTAAATTTTACTTCCTCCTTTTTCATCCTCACACTTTTGAACTCCTTGTCTTACTAGGCTGGTTCTGACCCCAGTGAAACACTGAAGAGAAGCCTTGTTAGAGGCATTCTTCTCTTGCTTCAAACATTAAAGGGAATGCTTTCAACATTTCCCCATTTACACTGATACCTCCTGTAGGATTCTGGCAGATCCCCTTTCAGGTTAAAAGGTTTTTTCTTTTCTTCCTTGTATGCTGAGAGTTACTATCATGAATGAGTGTAGAATTTCATCAGATTCTTTTTCTGCATCTACCAAGGTGATGAATAAGGTTTTTCTCCTTTAATTTGTTGATGTGGCAGATACCATTTGCAGACTCCTAATGCTAAGTCCCTCCTGGGTTCCTTAGATAAACTTGCTCATGGTGTCCCACCTCTTTCATAAATTGCTAGATTTGTCTGGATTATATTTTGAGTAAAATTTTTGTATTTAATAAACAAACACAATTACTTGAGGATTACTGTCTGTCTCTTTAGCCATTCTCTAAGAGAGTTTAAGATTGGAATTATCTGCCCCTTGCAGGACAGTTAGAACTTTATAAAACTATCTGGGCTTCATTTTTTTGTGAGAAATTTTTAACTACTGTATCAATTATTTTAGTACTTACAAGACTATTCAAGCTTTCTTCATTTTGAATCATTTTACTTGTTATACCTTCATAGGTGTTTGTCCATTTTATGTAAGTTTTTTATTTTATTGGCATCAAATGGTTAACAGTATTCTATTATTTTTGTTACCTATGCTGTACTTGTATTTTCTGTCTGTTTTCCCATTCCTTATATTATTAACCCATGTCTTCTCTCTCTTCTTGATTGGTCTCACCAGAGGTTTGTCCATCTTACTAAGCTTTTCAAACAACTTTTGGCTTTGATACTCTCTACTGTGCTTTATTTTTGAATTCTGTGAATTTTGCTCTTACCTTTATTAAGGTTTATGATATTGTTTTTATAATGTCAGAAATAAAATACTTAGCACATTCATTTTCAGCCTTTCTTCTTTTCAAATATAAGTATTTAAAGCAGCAAATTATCCCCTAAATACTTTTATTGCTCTCCACACATTTGGACATGCAGTTTTGCATTATCATTCAATTCTAATGCTTTTAAATTTATTTCCACTATGATTTCCTCTTTGACTCCTTTTAATTTTGGAATACATGAGGATTTGTTATATAGCTTTTTGTTATTGGCATTCAATTTAACGGCAGTATGGAGACAGAATGTGGCTGTCTGATACCAGTTCTTTGCAATTTGCTCTTAGTTTATGATGTAGACATAACTGGTGTTTATAAATATACCATATGTGCCTGAGGTGTTTTCTCTAATTATTTCATATACAGTTCCACATACGATCTATACATAAAGCTAATCATCTTGTTCAAATTCTCTTTATCTTTGCTGATTTTTAAATATGTTTAGTCTATTAATAATTGATTTGAGTGGAAATCTCCCACTAACAGTGGATTTGTAGATTCCTCATGTAGTTGTATCGATTTTTATTTTATACATTTGGAAGTTATTTTATTAGGTATATTCAGAACTGTTTTATCTTTCTGCTGAACTGAACCTTTTGTCTTAAGTAATTGCTCTCTATATCTGTAAGTCTGCTACACCACCTTTTTTCTGGTTGGTATGTACAAGGCATTTCTTTTCTCATCCATTTACTTTTAACCATTCCATGCCCTTATCTTTGGGTGTATCTCTCTGGTAAACAGCATGTAGTTGGATTTTTAACAAATTAAACCTGCTCTCTTCTAGGCAAGTATATTTATTTGATTCTTTACATACTGTAACTTGGTTGACTATCTTTTCAATTTTCATTTCTGTTGCTTTTTCTAAGCTTCTTGCTTATATGCTCTTATTCTTATGCTTATGGGTGTTTTATTCCCCATTCAAACCATTTGTCTTCTTCTCAAAGGTTTAGAATTTCCATATTTTTATTTTTTGTGATGACCTTTGAAATTTGATATTGTATACTTATCTTTAAAAAGTCTCAAGTTAAATAAAATCTTAATCTCATTCCTAAAATGTTCAATCACCATTGAAAAATTTAACTCCCATCACTTACGGGCTATTATTATTGTTGTCTAAATATTGTTATTGACAACATATTGTTGTCTACTGCTACTTAAGCCATTCAGACCTTATGTGTTCTCCGGCCATGGTGGAAACAAGCCAAAAGACAATTACATAAAGAATATGCCAGCTAACTAAAAATTAAACAATACATCTATAAACAATTCATGGGTCAAAGAAGAAATGACAACAAAAATTAGTAAATATTTTTAAATTGACTGCTGCTTTTGTTTCCTATTCCTCTTTAAAGGAAGGTTTCAAAAAAAAAAGGGTTTTGATGATGACACAGGGTACCAGAGACACTGATCTTACTGAAGTCCTTTCAAATGGAAGAAAACAATTCAAACCAGAACATTATTTATTATTATTACTGATTTTAAAAGATTAAATCACAAGAATAATCACCTAGAAATGCATAGACACACATATATGCATACATTCATATGCATGACTTGTTAAAGTGGACCATTTACTATCTCTGATTCAACTGCATCCTAAAATATCCATTTCATTTGAAATCACTTACTAATTAAGAAATAATAGATTGGATATTTACAAAATGCAGCTTAGCTATAACTCACCTTAACATACATATTACTAAAGTGTTTCAAAACTTTATCAATGTTAAGATACTTCCCAAACTAGTCTACAGATTCAATGCAATCCCTCTCAAAAATCATCTGCCTATTTTTGCAAAAACTGACAAGCTATTCCTGAAGTTCATATGAAAATGCAAGAGATCCAGAATAGCCTAAACAATCTGAAAAGAACCTACTTGGAAGACACACCCTTGGTGATTTCAAAACTTACCACAATGCTATAGCAATCAAGTCAATGTGGTACTGGCATAAGGACAGACATACAGAGCAGTGGAATAGAATTGAGACTTCAGAAATAAACTCTTACACTTATGATGAAATGATTTTTGACAAGAGTGCCAAGACAATTCAACAGGGAAATGATCCTCTTTCCACAAATGGTGCTGGATCACCTGAATATCCATATGCAAAAGAATAAAGTTTGATCCTCTGCCACAACGTACACAAAAATTAACTCAAAATGGATAAAAGACCTAAATGGAAGAGCCTGAAATATAAAATTCTTAGGAAAAACATACATATAAATCTTTGTGACCTTGGGTTTGTCAGTTTTAGATATTATACCAAAAGAATTAAGCACAAAAGAAAAAATAGGTAAATGAGACTTCAAAAAATTAAGAACTTTTACACTTCAAGAAAATGAAATGACAACCAACAGAATGGGAGAAAATATTTCTAAATCTAATTTCTAAATATATCTGACAAGGATCTTGTATCCAGAATATACAAGAACACTTACAACTCAAGAAAAACAAATATTTCAATTTAAAAATGGGCAAAGGATCTGAATAGACATTTACCCAAAGAAGGTACACAGATGGCCAATAAGCACATGAAAAGATGCTCAACATCATTACTCATTAGGGAAACGCAAATGATAACCACAAAAATGAGACACTACTTCAAACCCATTAACATGGATAAAATCAAAAAGATAATAATAAGTATTAAGAAGGATGTGGAGAAATTGGAGCTTTCATGCATTACTGGTGTTAAAATGGTTTGTCACTTTGGAAACAGTTTGGACCCCCAAAAGAGTAAGCATAAAATTACAACAGGACCCAGCAATTCCACTTCTACCTATTCACCCAAAAGAAATGAAAACATAGGTCCCCCCAAAGAACTTATACATGAATGTTCATAGCAGCATTATTCATAACAGCCAAAAAGTGAAAATAATCCAAATGTCCATCAACTGATAAATGGATAAACAAAATGTGGTAGAGACATCCATTGGAATATTATTCAGCCATAAAAAGGAATGAAGTACTGATACATGCTAGAATATTGATGAACCTTGAAAACATTATGGTTAAGTGAAATAAGCCGGTCACAAAAGAGCACCAACTATATCATCCCACTTACATGAAATGTCCAGAATAGGCAAATCTATATTCAGAGAAAGTAGTTCAGTGGTTGCCAGGGGCTGGTGGAAGGAGGAAATGGACAGTGACTGCTAATAGGTATGGGGTATCTTTAGGGAAAATGAAAATGTTCTAAAATAAGATAGCGGTGTTGGGTGCACAATTCTGTGACTAACCTAAAAACCACTGAATTATGCTTTAAAGGGGTGAATTTTATGGCATATGAATTATACCTCAATAAAGCTGTTAATAAAAAATGGGGAAAAATGACTGATAATATGGTTTTACCTCGTTTAAAATTAGGTGCCCTATATATATTAGGAAGTCTTTGGCTATTTATTGCAGTCATACTTGACTTTAAATACATTGAAAATTAAAAGCACTCATTTGTCTGATGTCAGGAATAACTACATGAATCAGAAAGAATGCATATAGCACACTCATAGGTCTATGATTATCTGTGATGGGAAATTTCCTGACTAGACTGTAAGCTCCTTGTAAACAGAAGCCTTGTCTCATCCACCTCTTTATCCCCAGCACCTAAAATAAGTTCTGTTTCATTTTGTATCAGTGAATGAAAGCTACTGGACCAAATGCAGGACTCTCCTTCAGTTGATTAGAACAATGCAGCACTGTGTCCCTTTACTTTAAAAGAAAAGGCAAAGAGACGGAATGATATTCTCTCTTTTTATTGGGGCTGGGGAGGAGCTGACATTGCAGGATGCCTTTCATTTTCTCACTCACCTGCCTTTGCTGAAGAGGGACGAGACAGTTTCTGGCTATAGATTTGTGCAGCACTTTGGAAAGAGGAAAAGGGGCCAATGGTGTAACTGCCTGATCGACAGCGTGGCAGGCCAGCAGGGCTTGGTACGTTCTGTGTCCCAGGATGTACGGAGGGAGAGGCACTGTTGGGGACTGTGCTCAGTAAAACTGTTGGCTGGTGAGGCATGCTGAGGATAGCTGGAGGAATCTGAGATAAAGAATGGTGGCCTGGCCCTGGTGAGAGGTCAGAGGTTGTAATAATAGATGACAAATGGGTGTTGGGAATTTTCTGCCGGAGAGTAGCAGCAGGACCAGAGAAAGAAGTAGAGGAAGAATTGGTATAGACTATTTTAGCCTCTTTTTCTGCAGAGGTGGTAAATCCTATTAAAACAAACAAAACAAAGAAAACATCATTTTAAGAAAAACTGACACATAATCTCTATAAAACATGAAGTAAACATTCTTAAACATCAGAATAATTTTAGCATAGGACAGAAATCAAGAAAACATACAGATTTTAATGAGCATTCATTAAAATGAACTTAATGAATTTTACCTACCAAGACAACCTGGCAACAGAAATGGTTTGTTTTTAATCCTTTCTAAAACCTGGAGTTGGCACTACCTCCATCAAGCAGAGCAGGGGTTTTACATATGTTAGGGCATCAGTGAATAGTTTCTAGTAGTGACAGCTAACAACTCTCCCTCTGCTTTTCACCCCTCTGGGAAAAAGAAAGTGCTCAGAATTTCTAAATATGAAGAAAGTGAAAATTTCTCTGAAAGGAAAATAGGAGGTAAGAGGAAATTCTAAGGGAAAAGGAAAAGAAAAGGAACTTCTTTTGGGTAATGTCTCATGCTTTAGAATCAGTTAATATCTGATTACTTTTTTTTTCTTTTAGGGATTTATCAGAGGGCAGCAAATACACATAGGTGTGAAGTCACTCACGAGATAATTTATCAGAGTGAATTTCTGTTGTCTGTTGCGGTTTGGGCTGCTTTATTTTCACTTCTTCCATAGTCTCAGGGTGATCTGAAATAGGAAATAAACAAAGAGCTTAGGCTTTCCTATTAATCAAATGCTAGGGCATCGCTCTACATAAATTTTGTTTCCAAAATATAACGCAACTAGTAGTCAATCCTAGAAACCAGTGCATACCTCACCACGCTTTTGCAAGGGTGGCCACACCACAGCCCCACGGAGTGGGCAACTACCCAAATGATTCCCTAGCCCCAGCTCCAGCTAACTGAACTAGAGAAGGACACTTAAACCCTGGGCAGTTATCCATGGACTGCCAACCAGCTAGGACCCACCTGGAAAAGAAGATAAGGCAGTCAGATGCCTCTGCAAAGAAGTTATATATATATGGAGCAGAGCAGCTACCAAGAGACAGAACAGTCCTAATATTTATTGACATGATACTTGGATACTACAATAACTGTGTATCTTAAACTCCTTGGTTTTACTTGAGTTAGTTGGACAAGTTTACTTGAGATAGGTTGATCGCTATACTCAATAACAAAATCACTCTAACAAATAAATTTCCACTCTAATAAATTAGTTCTTTTATGCCACAGAATTTTGAAACAGGACAGCCAGAGCTAATTATATACTTAGGGAAATATCCCAGAATCTTTTTCAGGTGCTAGGTTCATACAAAAACTTGAGAGGCCATTTTCCAGATGATCTTTCAGAATGAAAGAACAAGAGGACATATGAATTCTCTTCTCTCCATCACCACCAGCTGTGATAATACTGTCATATATTTGTTGGCTCATGTTTGAAATGAGTCCAAATTACTATCAAATGTCATAGTGTTGTTTCCTTGATTGACGCCTTCCTACTGCCCTTCTAGTCATCCTTGATAGGTATACGTCTTAACGTAAAACTAGTCCTTAACACATGATTCCCAGAATTTCCAGGGATCCATCTGTACAAATAGGGACAGCCAGGACGTGCTGTTAGGGCTTCTTCACTGTCACCAGGGGAGAAGTTACTATCTGAATGCAATCTAGGCCCTCGCCTCCCTAGGTTATCACACTTTTCTTCACCCCAACCTCATTACAAGAATTCCTGAGCCTCCCTTCCTCAACACTGTGATAGAAGCTTTTCAGAACTTCCATCAACCTTCTCCCTGTATTTATGCACCCAACTTCATCTACTGGACCACAAACATTATGAAGTCAAGGAGTATGACAGTTCTTGCCATTGTACACCTAGCAACTACCACAATGTATGACACATAATAGGTGCTCAGTAAAAGTGTGCAGAAGGAATGAACAGATGAATAAACTAGCTTCAGAACTTAAGATAACTCAGGCAGGCTTAAGAAGGCTGGACTTAGAGGACTTCTACTAATATAATCATTATACAATGACCTAAAAATAGGCTTTTGTAGATTATCCGCTGAACCTAAACAGTTTTTAAAATATTAACACTGTTTCCTTGGGAAAACAGCCTACTTTTTAAATGACTGATTACCCTGGATATTTTACATTAGACTATGGTAGCCTTAAGAGCAGGGAAGAAGTCTCCATCATTGAATCTAGTACTTAGCACACTGACAACATTAGTTTTTTGGTTACCTGTGTCTCATAATTCCATTTAAATTTCAAATAACTCTTGCATTTAAAGCACAGAGCTTTGCTATAATAGAATATCACTGCTTTTTTTTTTATCATAATGAGAACTGGATAGTATGCTCCACATCATTTCCAAAATACCCTGTCACAGAGGTCCCCAGCAGTGAGAACTTTCAGAAATGCATGGGACATTCTGGGTTATCACAATGACTGAAGGAAGCCAATGGCATTTAAGGAATGGGACCCACCAGGTATGGAACAGTCCCACACAATAAAGAATACTTCTTCCCTAAATGCCAATGGTGATGAGCTAGAGGAAGAAAAAAATTCAACAGAGTGAGAAATAATCAGCAGGAGAGGCAGAAAAGCATAGATTAAGATGACAAACTTTGAGTCAGACAGACTAATGTTCAAATTCTTGTCCTACTGCATAGTGAAGGGTACCCTTAAGCATGTTATTCAATCTCTTTCAGTTTTTGTTTTCTCATCTGTAAAGAAGTGTTAATAAGAGTACCTACTCCATATGGTTTTTGGAAGTAAAGAAATAAGATCAGGTCCAGCAGAGAGTAATACAAGTGCTCATTAAATGCTAGCTATTATTAGCTTGTCTTGAAAAGCTTTCAGCTGTTAATCATTTAAGAAACAAATCAGACCATGTCCCTCTTCTGCTTTTAGAACAAAAATGTAATGCCTCCTCATCTGCCCCCAAGCCCACCTTGCGGAATTCCGTTGCCCTGGAGTCTATTAGTGCTTAGACAGCACATGATTCTTGGCTCTCCTTTGCATATCTCATTTTTTCACTTGTTCTTATTTTTCATTGATTATCCAACATACTTACCACCCTTTGCCCCGCTATCAGAATTACTGTGGCTGTTTTTAGAACTTTTTGAGTGAGTCCCCAGGCAGACACTTGCAGACTTGTTTTTTTTGGTATAAAAAGTCAACACCTCCTCCAGTTCTGCCTCACTGAAATGAGGAGAGAAAGTATGGTAAGAACAGGAAGCTGTTCTGGAAAATCTTTCCACCAGATTTTATTATGGAAATGGAGTAAGCTGGACAAGGGGAAAATGAAAAGTGCAAGCTGAAAATTTCCTATTAATAGATGATTAAATAGGAATATAAATGAAGCAATCTAAAAAACGTAATGCACGATAAGGCTTTATTCATTCCACAGTGAATTTTCCAGATCTGCAACTGTCCTATATGGTAGCCATTAGTCATACAATACTATTTAAATTTAAGTGAACTAAAATTAAATAAATTTAAAGGTTCTTTTCCTCAGTTACTCCAGCCATATTTCATGTACTTAGTAGCTACAACACAGAAAGGTCTATTGGACAGCCAGGTTCTGTATCAAAAGACAACAAGCTGCAGACAGGAGATCAAATCTCATCAGCAGCCCTGTTTTTGTATGGCTCCCAACTAAAAATGGTTTTTTTATATTTTTAAAGAAGAATATGCAATAAAGACCACACACACAAAGCCCACAAAGTCTGAACTGTTTATTATCTGGCCCTCACAATGTGCCTACACCACTTCTAGACAATTAAAGTATATTCACTGAAGGAGCCACTTGTTTTATTTGCCTTTGTCAGGAGTAAGGAGACCCACGAGTATAATCATAGAGGAGTTCCCTAACCATCCACACAGTGAAGGAGACTGAACCAGATGGTCTCTAGGTCATTTTATGTATTGAAATTACATACATAAAATGCAAAATATAAGGAGACTGCTGAAGACCCATAGGATTCTTCCAGTAAATATATGTGGATTTTGTAACACCTTTGGGCTTCTCAAGGGCCTCTTGCATTTTTTTTTTTTCCTGGAGCCTGGCTATGTTCCAGATAAGTGACTTTAAATAAGCAAAATATTATTTCATTATTACAAAGAACCTATATCCCATCTTCAGAATACACTCTACTGACAACCTAAGGAACTGCTCTATGAACCTCCAAGGAAACTCCAAGGTCTCCAGAATAGCAGAGTACCACAAGATTAGTACCTCAAATAACTACCAAAAATCAAATGCTGAGGTTGCAAGTGGGAGGCTGCCTCTGCCTGTCAGTGTTTTTATTTTGCCCTTCACAGAATACTGAAAGGGAAAGGTCATGGTTGGTCAAAATACACACTGCTTTATACCTCTGGTCTTATCCTCTGCCCACCTCACAGTTTCTGTTTCCCTGATTGGCTCCTACAAGTATGTGGACTGACCAACCCTAACAAAGCTATCCACGTGTCAGCTCATGAGACAAAAGAACTGATGCTACCACATATTCTCAACAATCAACACAGAATCCACAATTAGTAGTAAATACATTCCAATATATTTTATCTCCAAGTCTGTATCATTAGTTAAGAATATATAATTCATTTCTAGTATCCAGTTAGGCCTGGTAGGGGAATACTCATTACTTTTTAAAAGATTGGTTTTTCTTTTCTTTTTTTAATTTTGAGGGATTTGAAGATCCCTAGGAAGAACTAGAATTAATCTTTTAACTTTCAAAGTAGAGCCATTTTCTGAACATAATTATCTTTTTGTTCTATTTTTACGTTGATGTGAGAAACTGTTTCTTGCTTTGTTTCTATACCTGCTTTATTAATCATATTATTCAAGAGTCAAGAATGTCAACAAAATAATTACATGATTATGAACTACAAAAAGACGATTTGTTTGCTATGTGTTTAAGCATGTTATCCTGAGGCTACAGTTGTTCATATGAGGCATTAAACACAGATCATGCTATGTTGGTGGTTGATATTTTCTCCCCACTGAGGCTTTGATAGTTGAAGATTAATTAGTTAATGGGGTTGTACAAAAGTTTTATCCTTTATTTCAGTGATTCTGTACAGCTCTCTGTTGCAGAAAAGGCTCACCAGTACAAGTCTCACAAAATTTAAAATTAAATGTCTTTGCTACCTCTTCCTTTGGAAAAACAATGTAAATGGATGAAATAGCCTGGCTGATCTGTACCAAAATAAAAAGCTGAATTCTGAGATTTTCAATCCCTATAGGCTAACCCTAAGCATGAAGGACTTGTTCTATTTTATATAAATTAGGCGTAACATAACTTTCACAGTGCTGAGAAATTGCCAATTCCTCAACCCACTTAATGTAGGCAAAATTTGGTCATCACCACTGCATCAGCAGGTCAGGGATAAATTCAAATCCAGTAAACACTGGAAGCCTCTAACTTCAGCTTTCCAAAGGGCTCTCTCAGCACTTTAAGTGGGTTGTACTCTGAAAGCTGTCTAGAAATAGAGCCCAGATACCCAGCAGCTCTGTTTTGATAACAGAAACCATGACAACAATAACATAATTGGCTGAGATATGAAGAAGTCAAGCCTATGAAACTCTTTTTCTCCCTCTAAAAGTGATTTTATTTGCATCCACATTTTAGAAACGAGGGAATACTGGGACAGTATAGAAAATGGAATAAGATAGTTTTTATTAACCAAGAATGTCTTGTACCTTGCTTGTCTGATGAACTCCTGAAAGTTTTCCATATTCACCCCATCTTCCTCTTCTTCCTCAAGTTTCTTCTTTGATTTCTTTTCAGCCATTTGTTCTGTTTCCTAACCAGTCCCCAATCCCCACAGAAAAAAAAACTGTTGATAAATGTCTACTTCATTATCTGGTTTCACTACCTTTGGGTTAATGTATCTTTATAGTAAAGACATTTAATTCCTCAATACACTTCTGTCACCTATAAATTTGATGTATTACTCCCTGCCATTATTTCATGAAACATTTTGGAATTTCCAAGTAATAGTTGCAGAATACATGAAAAGAGCTGCTTATAGTATCTTGGTAATGTCTGTCACACTTGCAGCTTTAATAATATGACTACAGAGACACTGTATTTTGTTACAATAGGAGGAGGAAAGATAGGTCTTGGGATAGTCTCCTATACCAGCATCCAAACTGAGAAACTTTTTACTTTACAGAAGACCTACTGAAATTCTCAACAGATCTGCAGTAAGTAATGGCTATGGATTTGGTGTCTTGATATTCTACTAACTATACCATACATCTTTACAAAAGCCATTTAAATTTCTAGGCCACTGCTTTCCCTTCTGCAAAATGAGCATACATTTTCCCCCAAGAAATGATATTTCTAAAGCATTCTGACTGAGACCCTTGGATATAAGATGCTTTGCAAAATATTCTAACTAAATGGAGTATTTCCTGGGCTTGGTTGCCAAATGGTATCATTGTCTGTAATGCTCTAGAGGACAAAGTTTCAGTAAAGGAGATTATATCATTAATTAAATCCACAGTTCAAATTTGCTTTCAAATAGTCAATGCACCACTGTCTACAGGCACAATAACAACCATGCATATTCATATAGACCAGGATTCGTCTCAGGAACAACAGCACCCAAAAGGAATACACCTTTTGATATGAATTAACTATGGCCACTGGGCCTTCAGAAGTAATAAGTAGTTTTTCAGGCCAGCTGGGTTAAGGAGTGAGGTTCTACTTCCCCTAACAGTCTACATAGGGGATGATAATGCTAGAAAAGAGAAGAAGGGCCCTACCACTCGGCTGTACAGAGGCTTCTAGCTGGGTCTCACAGTGTGTGGTAATCTAAAGCACAAGACTAACAGAAAAGCACATACCTTGTCGTACACAGTGATAAAATTACCTAGCTGGTGGGCCAAGATTCTTCTGCGTTCCAGAAGCGCTAATCGTCGACTGGGTAATACCATTCTCAGTGAGTGCTGGAGGTTACTTGATGCTTGCTTGAGAAAATGAACCACTAGCTCCTATAAATTAAGAGTCATTGGGGGAAAAAAGCAGGGATTGAGCAAGCAAAGGAAGATAAGCTATGACAGGATTATACAACAGAGATTTATGAGAAGAGGTATATTATACCTTTCAACCAATAAGACTCAGAGCAGACATGTTAGGTATCAGAAGAACACAGAGAGGAAAAACAAAACAAAGGAAACTTATTGTCTTTCCTTGTAAGGCGGCAAGCAGAAAATCAAAATCAAATGTCTATACAAAAAGTCTATAACTAAGTTCATATATAGACAGTACTAAATAATTCAATGTGCAGATACCACTCCAAACAAGGTGATCTGAGAAGGCTATTTAGGGAAAGTAGCACTCAAGGGTAGGAAGATGAAACAAAAATCATGGGAGCAGATGAATTCACCAAAGGTAGTAAGATAGAGAAAGAACACAGAAATACTCATACCTAAGAGACAGGAAAGAGGAGGAAGAATTAGAAAAAGAAAAAAAAAACAGGATAGAAATATCACAAAAGTAGAAAGAGACCCCGGAGAACACAGTGTCACAGAAGCCAAGGGAGGAAAGGGTCCCATGTCAAAAGCTTCCTAAAGGCTGGAGCTGGAAAGGACCCTGACCACGACAAGCCTGTGCATCTGGCCAACGTGAGAAAATTTCAAGAAAGCACCTTCAGGAGAGCAAAGGGAATATAAAGAAGAGGTTAAGAAACCTATGGGTAATGAAAAATGTAAGTGAAAAGTAGAAACTACTGACTTAAAAAGCTTAGTGACAAAGCTAAAGAAATATTACTATGCTTGAAAGGTGATAGCTTTTTTCTCTTCCCCAAGGATAAGGGAGCTTTAGAGTCGGGGTTTGGCAAGGAGGGCACAGTGGAAGGTCATTAGGGAGAAGAAAGGGTACATCTCACTGGACATGAGGTAAAGGATTTTGAAATCTGAACAGATAGATACCAATCAGATAATTCATTAAGACCACAAATGCTTCAAAGAGACATTTTGTAAGGCCAAGGGCCCTAAAGATAGCTGTTCCTTTCCTCTTCCCCTTCCACAAACACATTGCCTTAAGATGATAGATTCTGGGACCTTCTACTGATGTGCCTTCCATGAATTATATCACAAAGACTCTCTAACCCTGATCTGGACCAGAGAAGGCAAGCCTATACCTACCTTCCTCATACACAAGACCACTGCCACGATAATCATGTAATGGGTTAGGGTTTACTTTTTAGCTGTGCTTTCAGAAAGGAATGCCTGGAACTGGTATTAAGTTTTACGGAGATGATCCTAAATATTCTTGTAAAGAGCCTCACAGACACCCTGCACAAATTCCAAGTCAGCAGTCACAGTGCTTATTCTCTTCTGATCGAGTTTTTTTCTTCTTGAATTTGACTTTGGTTCATTGTCCTTTAGTGCCAATTTACTTCAGCACAAGGGAATAGCCTCATAACTGAAAGGGTTGGATTTCAGAGTTCTACTCCGCTGTCTTTACTATGGGGTGGTTTCAGCTGTTACATTAAAACATTATTTTTTTCACAGTGGAGCAGACAAACTGACTCTCAAAAAGGCAGTTTCAATTTTCCACTTGGAAAGAGCAAAGCTAACATTTTCCACTGATGGTTGAAGGATTATTCACAACATACAAGGTTTTATCTCTGGGTTGTATTGGCTATTTTAAAATCACAAGTTGTTTTCTAGGATATCCATAATGTTTTTATAATAAGCCTGGCAAGTTGTATGCCTCTTATACGTGAAGAAATGAAAATTATGGTAGGGTCACCCCTGAGTTGGACAAAGGATGCAGTTTTCTTAGACTGAAAGGTCCCTCTTTTCAGTGACAGATCCCTGCGGTTATAAGGCTATGAAGGGCAGGGCTTCCTCTATAAGCGTTGACCTTACCAAAGAGCTTGAAAAGCTCCCTGTCATTATGACCCAAAAAGAACAACCTTGCTAGAATATTAAATTCTAGGCATACTCAAATGATTGATATATAGTAAAAATTATTATACAAGATTGTTGTATAATAATCTAAGAATTTTATAAAGTTATAGCTAGTAAAGAATAAATGTTAAAATGGAGGGTGATACATTCTCCGAGGGTCTATGATAAAGTGTTGACTTTCAAAGGACTAACTTGATTGCCCTCAGGACAGAAAGTAAATGCCTTATGATGCATGGAAACAATGGAAGAACAAATGATACACAATTATAACATCTGGGGTCAAGTTCCAGTTTCACTACATATAAGCTGTGGAACAACAAGTGAGTTACCTACCTTCTCTAGGGCTTTGTTTGCTCAGCTGCAAAATGGGGATGATAATGCCTACCTCAAGGAGTTAATAAAAAAATGAAGGTGCTTAAGAAAGGTCTTTATGAATCGTTATTCTTTTTGAGGGCTTTGCACAGGGCCTGACTTGTAATGAGTAATCAATTTCCACTTTCCGAATGAAAGAAATGGATGCTTTCAACATTGCAGTGTGATGACCACATCTTTGGATCAAAGATCCAATTCATATTAAAGTAAAAGAAATATATAAAGTATACCATGGGATAATTCTTTCACCAAAAGAATATGTTGCTCTTTACCCTCATAGAAAAAGAAAAAAGAAAAAAGAAAAAAGAAAAAAAAAAAAGAAGAAAGGAAAAAGGGAAAGTGGGAAGGTTCCAACAAGAAGAGCCTCACCATCTGTTCATCCTCTTTGGCAGCCCGACTGGCAGTGAATGTTTGGCCTCCACTGTCTTTCATCAGGCGAATTTGAACATGCTGGAGATAGGCAGAGAATGCTATTCGGGCCTGCACTTTGCTATAGAAACCCAAAACAACATACCGTTATGAGGCAGAATGGTAAGCCTACCAAACGCGTACTTGTTTCTCTCAAAGTGGCCTTTGAGAATCCTTTTATTAAGATGGCTGAGAAAAATGTAGCCCATCATATAGTCACTTAACAAAGATACCTTGTCCATAGTACATGGGATTTGTTTTTTCTATTAAAAGAATCCGAGGTGGAGAATCCTATTTATTTTCTCATTATTACCATGGTGGGGGACTCAAGCAAAAGTACAAGACCAGCTTTCCTATTCTTATACCTTATCTCTTTGAATTTTTTAGTAGCTTTCTTGCAGGAATGGACAGAAGAAGTATTGCACCTCACAAGAACCTCTGTATGATTGTAGAAAGTTTTTCTCCCTTGGAGACCCTTGAGAACATACTCATCCGTTAGTGGAGATGCATGGCTTTTGCCATGGCAACTAATATTTCTGGTGTGCAAAAGCCTCCAGAGCAGGAAATAGATAAATCTTACAAAGGAACTTTTGAGTCCAAATTTTAAGGTCATGCTTTTCCCAACTGCAGGACAGGAGTGGCTGGAGCCCAGAACAAATGAGTGAGGTCCAACAGAGTCTGGCACAGATGAACTGACGGGGTAGGACGAGCCCAGCTGTTCAGTGAGAAAAAGAAATCCTTACATACAGTAAAAAGCACCTTGGCAACATCATGGAAGAACCCAACTGATTTCGGCTTGGTGGTCTAGGATGGAAACAAGGGAATCTGATCAAGCTATGGTTTGGAAGACAGAAGTACTAGAGAGACACTGATGATTTTATTTCAGCTGCTAATTGCAGCAGATCTGTTTTCCTTCAGGAGAGATTTTGGTTACTTCAGCTGATCGGCCTTCTGACACTCTAGCCAAAATTACATCAGCGAAGATTAGGGCCCAACACAAACTTTGTTTACAATCCTCACACATGCAATCAATGAATGCTTTCTAATCACTGTTCCCCCAAGGTTAGTATGAAGGACTTGTCCAGAGTAAACTGGAGATCCTAAGAGGGTCTAGGTCTACCATCTATGTGTGTGTTGGAAGGACTGGAGGAGAGGGGAGTCAGGCTGGGGAGTAGATTTGCTTTTGGGAATTTAATACATAAGATCTTCAGAGCAGGAAATATAGGTAAGGCTACATCTTTGTTACGAACAGCGACAGTTTATGGGAGCACAACATGATTTTACAAAAATAAATTTGTATTTTCAAATGTTTCTCAACAAGGACAACAATTATATTCTTGCTCAACCTGGAGACCATATACCACTTTCCCCTCAACCATTCCCATAAGCGTTGCCCTCCATGACAAATAATTTTCAAGTCAAAACAAAGAAAAAGATGTTCAATTTTGGACAACAAATTAAACTGCAATATCATGAACTATAAGGGGCAGGTCGGACACCTCCAAATGCAGCAGAATACCCAATTTTATTGGTTGTTCCTCTACTAAAACATGAAGGTCTTTTGGGTAAGGTAATTACTGCTTGGAATTGAGATTTCAATAATTATTTTATTGTATATTATTGTTGCAAGTCAAATAAACAAATACTCAGTTTCCCATTTCTATAAATTTCATTAAAGAGCTTGGAATTGAGATTTCAATCATTGTTTTATTGTATATTATTTTTACAAGTCAAATAAACAAATACTGAATTTCCCATTTCTATAAATTTCATTGATGAGGTCCATGAGTTTTTAATTCTGAGATTGTCCCTAAGGTTTTTAGACACACTGCCCAGACAGTCATTTGCAACAAATCAAAAAAAGAGGAAAGAATGAAACCTAGAATGATTTACACTGAAGAAACCTATTTTAAAAAAACAAAAGCTTATGTGGATCCTCAGTATACAAAATATACAAACTAGGCGGCTGGGCCCTGGAGTCTCTAATCTTTGCCATGGACCTCTCCCAAGCCCCCAGGAGCTACAGAGATGCCCCACAAAATGATGGGTATCTCCAGTGAACAGTCTGAAAACCACTGATTCACATTAACCACCTTGCAATTACAACAGTTTACTTATTGAAAGTGAGATCTATAAGATATATGAAGAAATAATTTATTTCTGTAACAGCTAAGTAGAATGTTATTGCTGGAAAGGACCTTACAATATATTCCAGTGGTTTTCAAATGTTCTATTTCAATCCAGTGGAGTCTTTTTTGCCCTTCAAAAGTACAGAAAGCACAGTTCAGAAAACAGTTGTCTAACCCCATGCCTTGGTCAAACAGCAAAGGAAACTGAGGCACAGAAAAGTTCTCTGGCTGGCCCACGATCACACAGCCAGTTGGTAAGCACTAAAAGCCAGGCCAGGTCTTCTGACAGAGTTCAGTGTGCTCTTCAGTAATGTAACTACTCTTATTCTCCACGACACTGTTCCAAACCTTAACTCTATCCCCCACTGCCTCACACCCCAAGGTCAACCACCACCCTTGCAATGTAAGAACTCACCTCTAAGTTAGAAAATAAAGGCCATCATGCAAAATACCTAAACTCCTTTCTCCTTCAATTTCTAACTACCGCACCCATGGTGCTTTCTTTCTGACTTATGAGAAGAGCTACCCTGCCACTGGCTTTTTCCCTCCTTCCTTTAGGACCCCTCTCTGTCACTATATCTGTTCTGCATCTCTAATCCTCTTCCCATCATATCCTTCCCCCCATCTATAAATAAGATACAGAATCCCTATCTTAACAACAAAAAGCCTTCACTCTTGGCTTGCTCACTCACTGATGTGTTCTCACCTTCCTTTCACTGCCAAATCCTCTGAAAAAGCTAGTCCACATTTGCTGTCTTATTTCCTCAACTCACAAGTTCTCTTCTGTCCACCAAGTCTGCCCTCGGTCACAAATGCAGGAGTCTCTTTTCACTCCTCACCCTAATCTCGGCTGTCAGAGGTGCTCTATGGCTTGAAACTCATTCTGTGGCTTCTACTGTACCCCACCCTCCCAGGTTTATGCCTAACTCTTGAACTGCTATTATTTCTTTACCATTAAAATTGGTTTTTCCCCAAGGCTCAATTCTCTTCCTTTTCTGCTTGCCTATGCTTGCTGAACTAAACTGAATGAGACAAGCTCATGCACTCTGTACTTTTTAACTACCAACTATTCAGTCCTGTTCAACTCTGACCTGTTTTCCCTACCCATGGGACATTTTCACCCCAGGGCACGTCCACCTCACTGTGCCCCAATTAAAACGCATTGTTTCTATCATGAAATCAACTCCTATGCTCCTTATATCAACTGATGGCATCACCAAGTTGCTAAATTTGGAAAATCCATTCTCTTTGAAGCTCCTACATCTATAGAGACCAAGCCCTGTCAATTTTAGCTTGCATAGTTCCTTAAGCCCATCGCATTCTCTCCATTCCTTTAGCCACTGCTCTGGTCAAGGCCTTCATCTTCCTGGCTCTGGGCTATTGGAACAGCCCTTAATTTACCTCTCTGCATCTAGTTCTCCCCTTACCAAGCACTGTGCCACACTGCAACCAGAATTTACTTTCTAAATCAAGATCTGACCATATCATTCATCTGCTTAAAAATGATCTATCCAGAAAATAAAGTCCAGGCTTCTCTTAAAGCCCTTTAAGATCAAATGACATCCAATTTTTTAGTTTCATTTGTTACCACACCCTTCTCCCCATGTAACTCCACCACAATAATCTGTAGTTCTCAAGACTTGCCAAGCTCATTGCAATTTCAGGGACTTTATACTTGCTTTTCTGTCTGGAATATTCTGCCCTCTGATACTCCCATGAACTGCCTCCCTCTCATCATTCAGGACTTACCTCAAAGGTTACCGCTTCATGCCCAAACAATACAGTCTAAAGTAGCCCTCTGTCCAATTACACTCTAGAACTACACCCTGTTTTATTCTAACTGCCTGAAATTACTTTGTCTCTTTGTTTAATGTCTGTCTTCTCCACTAGACTGCAGGCTCCACAAGTCTGTCTTCATCTCCACTGTAACACTATATATCCTAGCACAATTCCAGATGGTCAATTAATACTGGCTGATGGACTGAACCAATCACTGGTGCCATCACAACACTGCTAGCACTCCCACACTTAACTGCCGCCTCCCCAACCTCCTGCAATCCTTCTGTCAGTCAAACCCTGGTCAAATACTGCCTCCTGCTTAATGCCTCTCTAGCCTTCTTAAGCAAGGCAAATCACTCCTTTTTCTGCATCCTAGGAGCATACTGGGATCAGAGATGCTGCTCTTTAATGACCCCACACTAAGACATAAGCTGCTCGAGCTCCTTGTGATCTCAGTGACTGACACTAAACTCAACAAACATTTGTTGGGCCAACGAGACCTCAGTTTGGATCTATACACTGGACAAGTAACTTCTCCAAGACTCAGTGTCCTTAATAATAATATCAGTCATAGTCACTACTCGACAGAATTGCTGTGAATAAGAAAAAAAAAAAGGCTATAAAGCTACCAGCATATTACCTAGTACACAGCACAAGTTAGCTGTTATCAGTTTTACTAGTATAATTACAAATGGTACATACCTAAGATTGCCATCATCTTGCAGAATCTGCATCAGGTTAAATTTAGGCTCTGGCTCCTGAGTCTCAATTTTGCAGCCCTGGTCACCTTTATTATTCCATTCAGGAACCTTTGGGGGATTTTCTTTGGGTGCATTTTCTACCATAACTCTCAATGAGGGTGTGTACTTGGCTTGATTTTCTCCAAGGGACCCTGCAGACTCCTCCTGGGAAGCTTCCTGTTCTTCATTGTCTAATGCAACTTCTTCCTCCTCTTCACTCTCTGTCTCAGTTTTAACATTCATTTCAGCCGGTTGGGTAATCACTAAATGCGAAGAATCATTAATATTGCTGAAAAAAGGAATTAAATTTTCCTCTCTCCCAATACCTTCCTTTTATCTTTTTAGTAAAAACCCATTTCTAAATTAGAGCACAAATAAGGCAACAAAATTAACTGCATACACTTGTCACTCTCCAATCTTATATATGCAAAAAGCCTATTAATGATCTTCACAAGAGTTAGTGTTTCTCATCATACCACCAATGGCTCTCCCACAACTTAATGGAAAAACTATCTTAGCAGAATAATCCCTATAGTGACTCAGACATTTTTAGAAAGGCAGCTTCCATGGAGCTACCAAGAGCAGGAGAATATCTGTCCTCTGCTTACTCATTATTCTTCTCTTTCACTGCCCTGATAAGATCTATGAGGACAAGGACTATATTTTGTTTATTCACCAATGAAACCCCAGTGTCTAATGTGCCTGATACAGGTGCTCAACAGAAGAGAGGAGGGGGACAAAAAAGGACATCAGTCAGTGACAAATAGACCTACAACATGACAGAATCAGAGAGAGAAATTCCTCTGGCTGTTCATGCTTAAAATACTGACACTATTCAGCAATGTGAACAGATGAGCTAGATTTAACACCTAAGCATGAAAAACCTGAACAGCAATGCCCAGGATTCCATTACTGTTAAGCTAAAATATCTAAAGAATTTCTTTATATCTATATGTCTTTATATCTGAAGTATCAGGTAGTTAGTTACACGATGCAAGAATAAGAGCAAAAGCCAAAATGTGTGTGCTTCAGATATTCTTCAATGCAAATATTATAAAATGGGAGGTTTTAAAACTTAAAATCCTTCTTTTTGAAATTGTTTCAAAGAAAAAGACTATTAAAAAAATTAAATATATGTCATCAGAAAGGTTCTGATTCAGTAAGTATTAATTAAGAATCTGATTAACTCAGTCTGGCAGGGCTCAAATAACGGAGTTTGGTGAAAGCTCACCAGCAGGTACCTGGGTATTTTGGCCTCATTGACCTCAATCTGCCATTCCGTTGTCTACGTTTTCGCACCTCCAAAGACAGGAGCTTCCTTTCATAAAGAGCAGCATGCAGCTTGGCCTTTGAATTCAGACTCTCTACCTTCAGTTCTGGGGCTCCATCAGCAGTCACTCTGTGGAAAGAACAATATGGTAGCTACAGCCTTCAAAAAGTTCTCTCCTTTATTCCAAGGCTGAACTTGACAGAATTCTGTAATGATGACAGGCCGGGGCATGGTAACTCCAGTGAATTCTAAAAGTTTGACGGATAAATGGGGATACTGGAATCTACATTACAACTGTTATAAAATAAACTTCCAGTTATAAAATAAGTAAGTCACGGGGGTGTAAAATATAGCACAGGAAGTAAAGTCAGTAAGACAGTAATAACTTTGTATGATGACAAAGGGTAACTATTTTGTAATTATGTAAGTGTTGAATCACTATGTTGTACACCTGAAACTAACATAATATTTATGTCAACTATACTTCAATAATAAAAAACTTCACTAATCACTAATGGCCTGTCTGAATTTGTTAAATGTTCTAAACAAAAATATATCTGAGGATAATGTTTAAGTGTTTTTTTAAGTATTCAGTCATACTTGTTATTTACTGCAGAGATAATAAATGTTATCCAATATCCTATATCTTAATAATGGCTGGGAGATACTGGTAACATTTTGATTTGTTGCTAAGGATTTTATTTCATTGGTATTCATTATAACTTAAAATTATACAAGTACTCTTTTGAATGTATACAATATTAATACAGATTTAGCAGGGTTAAGCTGAGGGGAAGAATGCCTGATAATCTGTGAGTATAACAGCACAGAGCTGAGACTCACAAAGGAACTGTCTTAGTAAAAAGTTAACCAAGACCTTGGGATGCACTCAGGCCTTCAACATGACTAACTCCTAGCTCAGCACCCACTCGTTACAGGAGGAGGTGGGGAGAGGTGGCAGGCACTCTCCAGGCACTGAGTACAACACAGGAGTTAGAGTCAGAGGCATAGACAGCAGAAGGCAGCAGAGGTAGGACAAGGCCAATCAGGTCATGAGTGGGGGGATGGGGAAAGGGTCTAACAGCATCTTCATTAGGTTTTAAAGTAAGATAAATCACAAATTGTGGAAGTGACAGTATCAGTGTAATCCAGACAAGGACCAGGCAAAGTGCAGGGCAGGCAGAGACAGCCAGGTCACCAGAGAGGTTTTTGGTCACTGAGTCGGAAGAAGCATCCATGTTAGTGTCTGAAAGCAGGCAGCCAGCTCTGTATACCCCAAACTCAGGATCTAACTGGTTGGCCCCAAACTCTCTCTCTTAGTTAGACTCTCTAGAACTCAAAGCGTATTCCCTTTGAAGTCAAGGAATCATCCTCATTCCTAAGGCAATTTTCAGTCTGTGAGTAGAATGGAAAGACTGATTTCTGGGTAGACAGACTGGGTAGTAAGTCTTTAAGAGGCCTTTTCTTTAGCAGGAAATTGAGCCAAGAACAGTGGAGATACTGACACTGGAGGCAGAAATGGGAAGCAAATTAATGAACTTCAAAAATAGTTCAAACACAGTTTATCATACGCCCAATTGAATATCACTAGCCCCTACCCCCTACCACATACAGCTGTGAAAATACATGTTTAGCAATTAATGAAGAAAATCAAACAGATCTGATATTTAAAACAACAACTATGAGCTTCTAAAAAACCCCGAATAGACAGATAAATCCTAACTAGTACAAGGGATGGAGGTAGTGAATGCTGGGGAACGTGTGAATCTGATAAACAGTATTACTGTTTTACGAGGGCAACGACCAAGCTTGTCTTGCTGATCAGTGATGCTTATGAGACTGCCCCGCACACAGTTGCTATACCATAAATATTTTTTAAATAATAAACAACTGAATTCCCTATAAATAAGTTGTAACACCTTTTAGCTATATCTTTTTCATTTTATTTTTCCAACTTTTTATTATGAAAATATTTAAACAAACAAAATTTTAAAGAATTGTACAGTGAACATCCTTATACCTACTGCCTAGTTTCTACAATGAATATGTTTCTATACAGTTGACACTTGAACAAGATAGGTTTGAACTGCACAGGTCCACTTACACACACTGTTTTTCAATAAATATATTGAAAAAATATTCGGATATTTGCAACAATTTGAAAAAACATTTTCTCTTCTCTAGCTTACTGTAAGATTATAGTATATAATACATATAACATACAAAAGATGTGCTAATCAGTATTTTATGTTATTGGTAAGGCTTCGAGTTTTGGGGGACTCAAGTTATATGCAAATTTTTGACTATGGGGGATTGGCAGTCTTAACCCTGACATTGTTCAAGGGTCAGCAGTATTTGTTTCAGCACATTTATATCCAACATCTGTCCTTCCATTCATCCATCGATCCATCTAACTTTTACATTTTTATAGCATTTCAAGGTTGTATACAATGTACTCTGTTCCTCAATGCTTTAACATTAGTATCCAAAATTTAGGGCTTTTGGGAGGTTTTTTGGTTTTCTTTTTTGTTTTGGTGAGCTAAAAACTACGTACAATGAAAACACCTGAATATTAAATATCCATTCGGTGAGTTTTGGTAAGTGCCTAGAGCTGTATAATCCAAACTCTAACATGACTATCCCTTCAGAAAGTTCTTGTGTCCCTTCTCAGTCAATCCCTCACTCATACTCTTAAAGGAAACCATTGTTCTGATTTTTTTCATCATATTTAGGTTTTCTTGTTCTAGACCTTCATAAAAATGGAATTAAACAGTATGAATTCTTTTGTGTAAGTCTCCTTTTATTCAGCATGTTTTTAAGATTCATCCATGTTGTGTGTTTTAGTATTTATTCCTGTTTATTGCTGAGGATTCGTCCACTCTACAAATAATCCACAGTTCACCTACTCTTCTGTCGTTGGTCCCCTAGGTTGTTTCCAGTCTTGAATATTATAAGTGAAGAAGCTACAAATATTTTTGTACAAGTTGTTTTGTGGTTATATTTGTCATTTCTTCTGGGTAAAAATTTTGCAGTTGAATTTTCTAGGCTTTCTAACAAACTGCCAGACTCTTTCTAAAGTGCTTGCACCAGTTTATGCTGCCAGTGACAATTTATCAGAGTTCTATCAGCTCCATTTTCTTTTCTCTTAGCTTACTTTATTGTAAGAATACAGTATTCTGTCAGTCATTTTCGTTTTTGAGGTTGTCAGTCATTTTTGTTTTTGTTTTTTCCCAGGCTTATTGGGTATAACTAACAATTAAATTTGCAAGATGTTTAAAGTGTACAATGTGATTATTTGATAGAATTGTAGCCATTCTGATGGATGTTTAATGGTATCTCATGATTTTAATTCTCTGATAAATAAGGTTGTTAAGCATAATGTCATGAGTGTATAGCTATTCACATATCTTCTTTTTGAAATGTCTATTCAAATATTTTACCCAATTGTAACTGGGTTGTCTTTTAATTATTCAATTGTGGGAGTTCTTGCATTTCCTAGATAACAGTCCTTTAACAGATACATTTGATGAATATCCCGACTCAGTGTATGGCTTGCCTAGTCATTTGCTTAACAGTATCTCATGATAAACAAAAGTTTTTAATTTTGAGGAAATCAAACTTATAATATTTTTCCTTTTTGCTTTCTGTGTCATGTCTAACAACTTTTGCCAAGCCCAAAGACAAGTTTTATAGTAATAACTTTTATTTTTATGTCTATGAATCATTTCTAATTTTTGTGGGAGATAGGGAATCAGGTTCATTTTTTAAAATACGGTATCTACTTTCAGCCCCATTTGTTAAAAACAATTTCTCTTCTCCATTAGATTACTTTGGGCCTTTGGTTTAAACTCAAATGGCTGTATAATATGGATCTATTTCTGGGCTCTTCATTCTGTTCTACTGATCAATTTGCCATAGTCTTGATTACTGTAACATTATAGTATTTCTTTAAGTCAGGTATTCTATGTCTTTTTCAAGATTACTCTGGATATTCTACTTCTTTGTATTTCCACAAAAAATCTGTTTTAATTAGTCAACTTTTATTTTAAAAAATCTATGAAAATAATTGGGATTGTACTGAATCCTTAGATCAATTTGGGGAGAATGAATTAAGTCTTCTAATCCATGAATACTGCATCTCTCTCTACTTATTTAGATATTTTTAAATCTCTCAGTAATATTTAATAGCTTTTACTGTATATTGAACATATTTTGTAAAATTTATCCCTACAGAAAACATACAGTAAATGAATTTTAAAGTTCATTTTCAAATTATTTACTACTAGTATATTAAAATACAACAGACTTTTAGGATATTGACCTTGTATTCCAAGACCTTCCTAAGTGCCCTTCTATGTTCTTGGAGTTATTCTGTACATACCTTAGGATTCTCTACTAACCTGGTCATGCCATCCAAGAATAAAGACATTTAATTTCCTTTCCAATCTTTATTTTTTTTCTTTTTCTTCCCCTTGCTTTATTGTACTGCTTAGGACCTCTGGTACAAAGTGAATACAAGTGGTGAGAGCAGATGTCTTGCCCTATTACTAATCACAGGGAGAAAGCCTTCAATATTTCTCCATTAAGTATAATGTTAAGATAGGTTTTACAAAGAAGGCCTTTATCAGATTAAAGAAGTTCCCTTCTATTCCTGATTTGCTAACAATTTTTCTTATAAACGTGTTGAATTTTATCAGATGTTTTCCCTCCCACTTCGGATCTAATAAAATGATCGTTTGAATTTCCTCATTTAATATAGTAAATTACATCGACCAATTTTTCAAATGTTAAACCAACCTTGCATTGTTGGGAAAAATCTCACCTAGTCATATGTATTATCCTTTTTATATACTGGTAGATTCAGTTTGATAATGTTCTTTGAAGAGATTTTGTGTCTATGTTCATGAAGATATTAGCATGTAATTTTCATCTTAAAAAAATGTCTTTATTAATGCTGGCACCATAAAATGAATTAGAAAGTGTCTCTTCCTGTATTTTTTGAAAGAGTCTGTGGAAGATTGGTGTTATTCTTCCTCAAATGCTTGATAGAATTCATCAGTGAAACTACTGGAACTGGAGTTTTCTTTGTAGGAAGGTTTTTTTACTATAAATTCAATATTCTGAATAGATACAAGGCTGTTCAAAATTTCTATTTCAACTTGAGTCAGTCTTGCTAAGTGTTCCCTCCCAAAGAACTCAGTCACTTCATCTAAGTTGTCAAAGTAGTGGAAAAAGGCTTTTAAAATACTCCCTTAATATGTTCTTTTATGTCTGTAGGATCTATAGTGATATCGCCTTTCCTATCTAATATTGGTACTTGGTATTCTTATTTTCTAGATAAGTCTACATAAGTCTATCAATTCCACTATCTTAATGATGAACAATTTTGGATTTTATTAATTTCTTTATTTTTATCTCTTATTAAATTGATTTTGACCCTTTATTATTTCTTTTCTTTTATTTATTTTAGGTTACTCTTCTTTTTCTAGTTTCATAAAATAGAACACTGATCAGTGATTTGGTCCTTTGTTTCCTAAATATAAGCATCTAAAGCTATAATTTCTCCCCAAACACTACTTCTGCTGTATCCCACATATTTTAATTATCTTTTAATTATCAGTTTTAAATATTTACTAATTTCCCTCATGATTTCTTCCTTGACCCATGGATTATTTCGAAATGTGTTAATTCGCAAATATTTAGAGAGTCTCCATTGTTACTGCTTTCTGATTCCACTGTGATTAAAGAATATACTCTTTAGGATTTTGATCCTTTTAGATGTACTAAGACATGTTTCATGCTCCAGCATACAGGCTGTCTTACACCAGCCTACATTTGCTTACACCTCTATAACACCAGGAAACTCCTACTGATGGCAATATGAGTGCCAAAAATGAAAAAAAGACAGAGCTCACTGACCTTTAAATATTCTTGTTGTTTAAGATTTTTTATTTTGGTACTTGTTTTTTCTAATTGCCAAATTGGTAGCGATATATTCTAGGAAGCATATTCCTTATCTAAAAACTGGAGGAAACTTATAAACCAGCTATGATTTTCATTTGGAAACAGGTTACAAACTTGATTTCTCCCAGTTTTCCATTAATTATATGACAATCATATGTTCTCTTTTTAAAAGAAAAATCAAATAATATAACAAAAACAAAATCAAGAAAAATCAGATCTATGCTTCAAAGGGTTTGGTCCAAACCAGGTCTGGACTAGGTTTATCCTACTTAATTCTTAAATGTAAAACAAAAAGCTAGATATAGGAGGTTTGTTTCTTATTAAAGTCATTTTGTTTTTTTAAAGAAGTGCAGCACAATGGGGATGTATGTAATGTCTCAAACCCATATGTATGTTTAGCTTTCAGAGTTGCGGCTGCACTCTTCAGTGGGGCAAGGTCATCTAAGTCCTTGATCTTAGACCTTTCTCTCCTCTGCGAAACTGAAGAGCCGTAGGTATTTTGCATGCTTTTAATTCTGTGGCAAACTGGAAGCAGTTCTGCTCAGTCCCGTAAGGTGCGGAGCTGTGTGCTGTGGGTATATCAAGGCTAAAACATAACCTCTTATTTGAACAGAACATCACAGTAGTCTTGAAAATCTCATTAATACTTTGGTCTCTCTCACACAGTCAAACAAGAATACTATTATCAGTTCAAATAACACTTGTAGTTACAAAAAAGTAAATCCCAAACTTAGCTTGTAAAATGTTGCCACAGAGTAGTGTTTCAATAGAAAACATTTTTATGTTACTATTCAAGCTAAGCCAAACTGAAAGTGCTTATATAAAGTATCATGCTTAGCCCTATGGTCACACGCAATAACATATATATGGAAAGAATTTCTCAGTTTTCAAAGATCAGTTACCGTGTTCTTCCTGTCAACAAGCTTCTTCTTGGATTTCCCCTACGGAAGCAGAAAAGATGACACTATTAGAGGCCTGTTCAGATACTCTCTCTTGAGTTCACACACGATGCTCTCCTGAGATTCATACTACAGAGACTCAACCTGAAATTATGCCAGAAGAGAAGAAAAGCAAAAAGAGGAGAAGCAAAGAGATGAATTGAGAACATTCTCAACCTAGCTTGAGGGAAAATCAATAAAAAACAAAAGGGAAAGAACAAATGAATTCTAGAGAAAAATCATAACAATTGCCTAACATTTGTGTATCTAGTTACAATCGTAACAATTATCTACATTTGTGTATTTAGTTGAAAATCATACCACACTTATTATTCACAACTACCACATGAAGTAGGTTCTTACTAGACCCATTTATAAAAAGGAGGATAAGATCATTTGGTGATATGCGGTTAACGGGTTTAAACGTGAACCCAGGGCTTAGGCCTCAGGCTCCAATGCTCCTTATACTTTCACTTATAAATTGATTAGGAGAAGAAACCGATTTCAATTCTCATACAGTTCAAAAGGAATTAGAAATGGATTTTCTACAATTTAAAAAAATCCCTTGAAAGAAAGAGATGCTTTCCACTTTGCCTCTAACCTAGAGTCAGGCTCTAATCATAGGGAGTGAAAGCCATTCTTATTTAAATTGACTTGTGTTTTTTGTAAAGAAAAACTTCTTTTTGTTTGTTTTCATTTCCCCAGTTTTACTTGTACTCATTTGTAATGTGTATATTTAGTTTGGAACAATTTTATCACTGTGTAGGTTCATTTACCCACCACGACAGACAAGATACTAAGCAATTCCATCACCAAAAGGATCCCTGTCTTGCCTTTTATAATCACACACCTCTTACCTACCCCCAGGACCCTTTAACTTAGTCTCCATTTTAAAATTTTATCATTTCAAAAATGTTATATAAATAGAACCACACATCATTTAACTTTTGGTATAGCTTTTTAAGAAAGAGATAGATGCATTCAATATCAATATTTTCTAACTATAGAAAATCAAGTGAAAAGTCTGTCCTCACTAATACGTTTTGTCTTTCCCTTCCCATGTCTTCTATTCATGCTAGTATCCTAATACTGGTATCTTATCATCAGAAAGTCTCAAGATGATTTTAAGTTTCTCAACAGATAATGGTTTGCTACAGTGATTTCTGAGCATGGCTTCACATTACAATCACTTAGGCAGCTTTTAGGATGTACCAATACTTTAGTCTGGGGATGGGGCCATGGCTTAAATGTGGTTTATAAGATCCCCGGGTGCCACTAGTATGCACCAGGGTTAAAACTACTGTCATACTATCAGTTAGTAGGTAAGATACTATTTCCCAGGGCAGAGTGGGTAGATGGAGAAATGAGTGAAGAGGAAAGATTGGCAAAATTAACCTAAAAGAAATGACTGGAGATTAGCTTGACAGTAATTCTGACACTACTACAATGATCTTTGCAAGAGAGAAAATGTCAATTCAGACAGAAGATGTTAGGACTTCTAACAAACACAATTTCATATTTTCAGTGCATGTTTTTGTGTGTCTACCATGTCCTAGGTTCTTGATAATGACAAAGATGAACATAAAGTACCTACTCCTAAAAGCCAACTTGTAACATAGTCTAGTAAACAAATAGGCAATTATAATACAAAATAGGCATCTACATCAGACTGAGGGAGATAAGAAGGCTGGGAGAACCTCCCCCTAGTCGGGGTAAGAGGATGAAGGACATAGCTAGAACAAGAATTTAGGGATGGACTGAAGGCCATTCCAAGGGACAGTATGTAAGGATAAAGAGGGATGAAGGAGCACATAGATATGGTCTAACATGGGTTGGTATGGAAAAGTAGAGATTAGGCTAAAAAGGTAGACAAGGGTAGGCACTAGGGCCTTTCTTTGCTAAACAGGGGAATTCATGTTTTTTAATCAGAGTTTTTAAAACAAAGTATAAGGAGGAACTGTTATTGGGGCCTGAAGAAAGAATTAACTTGCACCAACTTGGATGAAAAAAAATTAATCCTCTAACTTAAATTTAGCATTTCCTTCCTATACATATAATAGTATTAGCGTGATTTTGCTACCAAAAGAAAACACTTCTTTTCTCATATTACTTTGGGATTGTTACAAGAATCTCAAAATACTACCAATACTTATCATACTTTGAAATTATGAGAGTTATTAGATCTACAGTTAGGTCTTGCTATTCAATGTGTTAATAAAGAAGCACATATATTATTACATCTCAATTATTTTTATTGTTATGCTCCCCCAAAGAGAATGATTCCTAATTTTGGTGGAGGTTCCCAGATTGCCTACTCTGTCTTTCTTTTCCCTCAGGGGAAGCCCAAGTATGGAAAGATCTAGCTCAAGCATAAAGTCCAAGTCAGTTCAGAAAGAGACTAATATAACCTGGGAGGAAATTCGTGCAAACTACCTATCTTAAGCAAACAGTCCACTGCTTATAAACCATGATGGGACAATCAAAGACTTCACCAAATATCTAAGGAAATATAATAACATAAACTAGGAACAATGAGATGAACAAACAGAACTAATCAAAGAGAATTAAATATGGCAAAACTCAGAAAGGTACTTTAAGCAAACTAATTTAGAGAGATGTGAAACAACATTCATGATATTGTGCTTTTTAAGAAAAACATTTCATCTTCATTTTCACTTCTGGCATACAGCTCCTAAAACCCTTGGAATTTCTTAGGTGATGAGAGTAGTAAAAGCGTCTTTTGCAACACCCTTGGATCACCTGAGGATGGGGGCTGATCACCAAAAGAACCAACCATATGACTGGAGGACTAGAACTTTCCCATCCCCCTAACCTCCACAGAGGGGAGAGGGGCTGCAGATGGAACTAAATCACCGATGGTCAATGATTTATTCAATCAAGCCTGTATAATAAAGACTCCATAAAAACCCACACGGATGGGTTTGGAGAGTTCTGGTCTCGTGAGCACGTGGCAATTTGGGGAGAATGGTACACCTGGAGAAGGCATGGAAGCTGTGCATCCCTTTCCCACATATCCTGCCTTATGCATCTCTTCCATCTGGCTGGTCCTGAGTTACAGCCTTTCATAATAAACTGACGCGCTAGTATATGTAAAATGTTTCTCTGAGTTCTGTGAGCTGCTCTAGCAAATTAATCCAACCCAACAATGTGTCACAGGAACCTCTGATTTATAGCCAGTTGGTCAGAAGTACAGGCAGTAGTGTGGACTCATGACTGGTGTCTGAACTGGAGTCCACGGAGGCAGGGAGGGCAGTCTTGTAGGAGTGAACCCTTAACTGTGGAATCTGATGCTACTCTCCCAGTAGACAGTGTCAGAACTGAGTTGAATTCTCAGACACTAGCAGGGTACTGAAGTGTGGGGAAACCCTCTTGTCCCACATTGGAATTGGTGCCAGAATCATTTTAATATTATATCAATAAACTATGAAAATCAGTCAGAAATCAAAAACAGTTCTTAGATACTAAAATCATACTTGCCAAAATAAAAAAAAAGTAAACTGAACAACCCCCTCCTGTGCTGGTCCTAAATAAAATAGATAAGGCTAAAGGTCACTTTAAAGTTTTAGAAGACAAAGTTCAAGAAATCTCCTAGAATTTAAAGCTAAGAGACAAGATCAAAAGTTTGAAAAAAAGTAAAGAAATATGAAGGATATAGCAAAAGATCCAAAATTCACCTGACAGAACTTTTACAAGGAGAGGAAGGAGAGGATGAGGGGAGTATTTGCCACAACTGGAAGGCTTAAATCTTCAGACCAAATCAACTCACCCACTGCAAAATCAAAATAATGAAAACAATATACCAGAACCCATCTTGTTGAAATACCTGAACTCTAAAGATAAAGGAGCCTTGCAAAACTTTTTAGGGGGTAGGGAAAGGAGAGAAAAAAACAGGTTATATATAGATGAGCTTCTACGTCTTCAAAGTAAATCTGAAGATCTTTCATCAGAAGCTATGCCATGTATTATTTAGTCAATGGTAATAACTACAAATATTCAGAGAGAAACTAAAAGTCCCATATTATTTCCTGATAATAGGTCATGATATTCCAAGAAATGGTTGAAATCTGCATCTCCATTTTAAGAATCCTGCAGAAAAGTACACATACCTTGAAAATGATATAGATTTCTCTAAGTAACCTTATTTTGAGAGTCAATTACTGAACTGCACTATAATGCAATTATGTCTCAGGGGCAAGAAAAGTATGTGGCACTAAGCCGTCCCTGATAGCTGTGCTAGCTGAATTCCAATGTCTGTTTTCCATCATTTCCTGCTATTTTTCCTTATATTGAGGTTATCAGTTGTCATTTCTTATAACTTTCAGTGTATTTATTTTGTGAATTACCTCCCCTTCACCTCTTCTAATCTGATCATTCTAATCTCTGTAGTCTAGAAAAACAGATGATCATGTCTGTTAAAATTGGGTCTAAAGTAAAAAAGGGCCTTCCTTTAAGAAGAATAAAGTTTTGGACATTTGTTAAAATTGCTTAAAGATAGTTATGGTTTAATTTATGGCCTCTGGATATATTACAAAATGCTGAAAATTTATTAAATCTGGAAAAATGAGGTATTATATTCTGTTTTCTGCAAGGCCCTTTCTAGCAGAGATTTTACTTAAGACTTTTATAAAGCCTCTTCCTTCTTTTGCATGTACTTTCTCCTAGTCATGTGATCTAGAGTCCTACTGAATTTATAGGATTAGCAAATCCCCACCTGTCCTGGAAGAGACGTGTTGCCAACATATAGTTCATGGAGGTCTTGTGTTCAAGATAGGACCTGAAAGACAAAAAAAGAATCTGGTTATTTCTTAAGATTAGTTGATGGGGAAAATATAAAAATAAAACCATGAATCAAGGACAAAAGAGACAGGTTACTTATGTACTGTTTCTAAAAAAAGGACACTTTCTCTAAAGTGGCAAAAGAGGAACAGTTGTTCAAGTTAAAAATATAAAATACTACAGTAGTAGCAAATACAGTAAGATGAAAAGAGTATTACAGAGGACTTAACTGAGAAAATAAAAAGAAAGAAAAGGCAGGGTTTCTTGGATTAGTAACAGGTGATATACTAAATTCAGAAGAAAACCCTCGGAGGTAAAAACAAAACCACCACCAAAATTTATATATAGCTAGGAAAGAGAGCTCAAATGAAGCTGGGAATAGGAGATGCATAAATGGCATGGAGACGGAGTCAGATGATTGTTTGAATCATGTTATTTCCTGAGAGCTTTCAATGGCTCCTGGAAGCCTACTGCAGGAAGCAAACACTATCTCTTACAAGCTTTCAAAAGTTGGATAATCTGCACGACCAATTCGTTTGCAGTTTCTCCACCATGTTGGTTTTCCAACATGAATTCTGCAGTGCCTCCAGACCAGCCTCCTTTTAATCCTCTCATACATACCTCCCACGGATCCTTTTGCCTCTGTCTGGATACCTTCTCCTCACACCCTCTCTCTACTTGTCCATAATCTATCCATCAAGAAGCAACCCAAGTCCACCCTGCTGCGTGTAGCCTTTCCTGATACGACTGCTCTAAGTCTACAGAGTTGCCCTTATCTGAACTAGCCTGGCCTTTACTGTACACCTCAGGAGCCTGCATACACAGTTTCACAGAGTAAAATTTTTCTCCTCAGAAAGCAGCATGATGCAGCAGGGAAAAAAGCAGAATCTGGAGTCAAAATACCTGAATCAAGTCCCACTGTGTGCTAATAGTAAAGGCACATTATTTTACTGATCCTTACTTTCCTTATTATTAAAACAGGAATGATAACAATGTGTATAAAGTACATTACAATTACAAAGAACTATACAAATATGAGCTGTTTTTATTAGATGTATAAATACTTGCTCCATTAATTATACTGTTAACTCCCATCTAACATTTGTTTTAGACTCCAACGCATCAAGCATAGAGCTAGACACTTAGTTGATACTCAGTAAGTATATACTACTAAAAAGGCATATTTGTCAGTAGATAAACACATCTTCCTCAGTGTACATGAAGGCAGCTCAAGTAGTTTAATATTCTTGGCCTCTCTCTGCCTCCTTTCCCAGAGGCTGGAGGAGAGGTGAAGTGACTTAGTGGACTGGTAATTCAGGAAGAATAAACAGAACATGCTTCAAGGAGTTACCTTCTTTCTCCCAGGAGATAATCTCCTCTTGGAAAGTACATATCCTCTGCTGCTCCTACAGGGGTCAGGTGCTCCCTACATATAACTCAGTCTCACCTTGCCTATGAATGGGCATGTAAAGCTATCCAATTCTGAATTCAGCAGAAAGTATATTTGCTTGCAGAGAGATATAATTAAGTCTCACAACCAAGACTATAGTAAGGAAGGTGGTATTTTGGCCTCCATTGATCTTTGTTTTATTTCTCAACTGGTTCAGAACCAAACCAGTGGAGGAAGGTATCATTAACGGACTTGCCAAGAAACCACAACATTATCTGTAATTGGTTCCGTAGAAAAAAGGCACTCAGATTAAGGTCTGACTCTTGAAGTGTTCAAGGGTGGAAGGTTTCACTTTCACTAATTAAAATATATGCTTTCTAGGAATTACAAATATTCAAATTCCTCAAACATATCAAACATACTTTTATCTAATTTTGAAGTTAAACCCAAGCAATAACTTCTGTTGAATTCATAGGTCTTTATAAGGTCCAACTAAATAGACATAGATTATTATGCAAGATAAAAGGAAGATTTCTCTATAAACAGTTGGGTGTTTAAAACAAACAAACAAAAACCTAGCTCTTTTTTTTATTCTTCTAAGTTCTGGCTCTACAGTTAGAACTACTAATACCCTTACTAGAGCAAAAACCAGAGGAAGAAAAATGTGTTACCTATGAACAAGTACAGAAATTCCCAACCTTACTAATAATCAGAGATATGCAAATCAAGACCAAAAGATACCACTTTGCACTTACTAGATTAACAAAAATTAGAAAGCATGACAGTAACACATATTGGAGAAGACATAGATCAATAGGATCTCTTACACATTGCTGTCAGGGATGTAATTTACACAGTCACTTTGGAAAACTATCTTTTCTTTTAAGCATTATGTTTTAAGGTTGAATATTCACATGTCTTATAGTCCAATAATTCTACTCCTAGATATGAATACAGGAGACAGATACAAGACTTTCATAGCTTAAACAGCACAAGATCAGAAAGAAGTCAAATACCATCAACAGGAGAATGGAGGAACACCTATCTACTCAGGCACAGAGTGACAGTCCACAAGGCTGGGCAAAGAGCTACTACTGTTGTAAATAACACTGAGGAGAAAGTGTAAGCTGAATGTTTTCTAGAATTCACACAGCTGAGAACTGATTGAGTTCCCACCAGCAAGACTAGAGAAATCTCATTGAATGTGGGGGTCATTTAACAGACACACCAAAAACAGTCTTCAGTAGTGGAACTATCCTAGACCTAAAGAAACAGCTGTTTTAAACAAACCACAAAGATGCTTTTAAATTAGCCTGAGAAAGATCTAGCTGATCTACAAGTAACTGAGCAACCAAAAACACCTACAACAAGGTTTAAAGAAGGTAATAAAATCCAAAATTGAACAATACAACCTTATAATGTCTAGCATCCAGTTAAAAAAATAAATAACAATACATGTGAAGAAACAGGAAAAAGGTAACCCATAAACAGAGGAAAATCATTCAATAGAAACAGACTCAGAAATGACAGTGAAAAAAGAGCAAGAAAGATTTTATTTAAAACAGCTACTAGGAATATTATAATGTATGCAGAAGGAGCTAAAGGAAATTATGAAAGTAATAAATAAAGAAAATGATATAAGGAGAAACAGATGAGAATTCTAAAGATGAAAAATAAAAATATCTGAAATAAACATTTTCATTGGATGGAATTAACAGAAGATTTGACACTGCAGATAAAAAGATGAATGAATTAAGAAACAAGAGAAACAGATAACCATCCAAAAATGAAGAAAGAAAGAGTCCAAAAACTGAACAAAGCCAGACTTAGAATATAACATCAACCAACTAAGCATGTAGCCAGAGTGCCAAAGGAGAAAGGAAAGGGAAAAAAAACTGAAGAAATAACAGTAAAAAGTTTTCCAAATTTGATAAAAACTGTAAGACCACAAGCCAAGATGCTCAACAAATCCCAAGAAGAAAAACATGAAGAAAATTTCACCAAGGCAGTCATAAAGAAATAGTCTTAAGAGCAGGTTGAGAAAAAAAGGCATTATGCACTGAAGAACACAGATAAGAATTACTGTATTCTTCTCATCAGAAAAATGCAAGTAATGGAACAGTATTTTGAAAGTGCTGGGGAAAAAAGCTGTCAACCTAGAATTCTACAACCAATTAAAAAAAAATCCTTCAAATATGAAAGTGAAAGAAAGACTTTTTCGCACAAACAACAGCTGAGAGAATTCACTACACCATGGACAAATCCTAAAATAAGTTCTTCAGATAGAAGAAGATGATACCAGATTGAAGCCTGGATCAACACAAAGGAAGGAAGAGCACTGGAAATGGCAGTACATGTATAAGTATGAGACTTTTTCTCACAATTAAATTCCCCTAAACTGCTCAAAGAAAAAATAACAACGTGCTCTGGGATTTATAACTTATAGAGAAGTAATAAATGCAAGTAATGGAACAGTATTTTGAAAGTGCTGGGGAAAAAAGCTGTCAACCTAGAATTCTACAACCAATTAAAAAAAAATCCTTCAAATATGAACGTGAAAGAAAGACTTTTTCGCACAAACAACAGCTGAGAGAATTCACTACACCATGGACAAATCCTAAAATAAGTTCTTCAGATAGAAGAAGATGATACCAGATTGAAGCCTGGATCAACACAAAGGAAGGAAGAGCACTGGAAATGGCAGTACATGTATAAGTATGAGACTTTTTCTCACAATTAAATTCCCCTAAACTGCTCAAAGAAAAAATAACAACGTGCTCTGGGATTTATAACTTATAGAGAAGTAAAATGTATGACAATAACAGCATAAAAGACAGGAGGGGAAAATGGAAGCAGGCTGGTTGAAAAATTCCTAAATTATACAAAAAAGAGTATAATATTGTTTTAAGGTATACAGTGATAAGTAAAAGATGCATACTGTCACTCTAGAGCAACCACACTAAAGAAAAAAAAAACATGCAGGAAAAGTTAATTAATCAAAGAAAGCAGGAGAAAATAAAAAGGGGAGCAAAGAACACATTGGACACATAGAAAACAAATAATGACATAGTATATTTTAAACCCAACCATATCACTGTGCTGTACATTAGATTCCTAGAACTTACTCATAACTGAAAGTTTGTATCCCACATAAGAATGAGATCATACAATATTTGTCTTTGTTTGTCTAGCTTATTTCTCTTAGCATTATCCCTACAGGTTCACCCATGTTACCACAAATGGCAGGGTTTCCTTCTTTTATAGAAATCCACTTTAAATACAGATAGACTGAAAGAATGGAAAAAGATAGGCCATGCAGCCTGAGGATTAGGATTCAAGACAGCGGCATGAGAGGTAAGACAGAGAGGTCCTCCCAAAACCACATATAATATGAATATATAGTTAATACAACGAATCCTGCCCTAGAGTCAGGCCAGCAAGAGGGAGGCCCTGCCTAAGGCAGCTGTAGACACAAAGGACAGAGGCTTCACCTGTGTGCTCAGCCCACTGGTTCCAGTGGAGACGGTCACTGCAGCCGGGAATCAAGAAACGGCTCTTACCTCTGGCTAGGCACCAGATCCACTCTCCTGCCACCCTGAACATCACTC